CCCCCCCCTTGCCGGGGCACAGACGAACGAAAGCATGGCCACCGAGGCGAGCTCGCTTCATTCTTGAGGGTATGAGACAGACCATTCGCCGTGGGAAATTAGTCTAGTGGTATGATTCTCGCTTAGGGTGCGAGAGGTCCCGGGTTCGATTCCCGGATTTCCCCTTTTTGAACTTCTCCTTTTGCTCCTCGCCGCCCATGGCAAAGGGGGCCCCCTCGGTTGCAAGCACACCGATACGGATCAAGGGCCGGGGGGGGGGGGGGCCGAGATATGGGTCGAGGCGACTTTGCCCCCAGGGAGATCATGCCTCGCATTGCTCGGATCGGATATGCTCGCATAGCGAATCCACCTTCGAAAGGATCGCGCGGCCGAGAGAGAGAGAGAGAGAGAGAGAGAGAGAGAGAGAGACACCCCTCGACCTGGAGGCAGCCTCCGCGGCGCGGAGCCCTCAGCGAGGCCCATCCCCACGGCCAGCCCGCATGTCGAGGCGTCGTGAACGAAAGGTGGTGACACTTTTGGCCTCTCCGCGCCGGGCCAGCGCGTCCCAGGAGGAGGGGCGAACGTGTCCCGGAGAGGGTGCAGGCCTCTTGCCGCTTGGTCCGGCTGCAGCCTCGATCCGAGAGCCGACACCCGGTTGCCCTCATTCTCCATCACACACTGGCAGCCTCCCACTCGCTGCGCGGTCGACAGGCTTCCTCGCTCCACGTGGTGTCATGAGGCATCCTCCAGCCTCGGCTACCCTTTTCGGGGCCGGCACCGGCCCCCGGTCCCCTGGGGCCGGCGATTGCCGCTCTCACAGCTGCCATTCGGGCAGAACGGCGAGGCATGGTTGGAACTGCTACCATCCCCCAGTGAGGCTGCCCGGCGGCTGTTGCCACCTTCGGCGTTGGCAAGTGGGCACGATGCGAGGCTTGTTCACACTCCATGTGCGCCCCAAAGACCAGACGCCACACCCCAGCTCCCGGACACTCGGTCCAGGTATGCCACGCTGCTTTCCCCCTCCGATACTTGCAGGGAGGGGGGAGGTTGAGTATGATCGGGGCCGGGTGCATGGACAACGGAAGCCGTGGTCTAGACCCTCGACGAGGGACCCCCTGCGGTCGGCAGTCGCCCAATCAGCGCACCGAATTTCGAGACTTCCGAGCGGCTGATCGTCGTGCTTTTCTGCCCGGGGCCGAGCCTCGCACACGCCCGGCCAGGACGCTTCCCCCTCACACGGGACCTCGAGCGCACCCTTCCCCCTTCAGCCCACTTCAGGACCGGCTAAACGCGTCACCCGGCGCAAGTCAGCTTCCAAAGCCCCATGCTGCCGGTGAGTCTTGCCCACGACCAGCAGAGCCCGCCCCCCCCCCCCAAGGTGCTTGATGTGTCGGGCCGGAGGGCAGCCGTTCCGCGTCAGCCGGTGCGCCATGTCCCAGCATACCCCGAGTCCCGGCGGACCATCGACACAAAGGTCCCTCGACAGTCTGCCCCCGGCGGGCGCTATGGGGAGCCTGCAACTCTGGCCTCTCAACTTGGGTCGCTCTACGAGCGGCCGGGGGAGGAAGCGCCCCTGGCTTTGTTCGTAGGCCGCCTGCTGGTCCTCACGGCTGGGAGTGCGGCAGGGGGGGGGGGAACCATGGCACCCAATTAAATGTATTCCTCTAAATGGGTGAACAGATGTGCGAAGACACATTGCTCGCATCCAGCCGAGCCGCTTGGGAGGTCCATGTCCCAAAAAAAAAGCCCTGGGGCTCGCGCAAGAATGAGCAAGAGTCGTTCGCCGTCGGGCAAGGGGGGAAGCAATCGTCCCCTGCGACGGAGGGCCTCCCACTACCGAAGGAGCTCGGCCGTGGGATCGCTCGACGGCCCAGTGGTGGCGCGCCGACGGGCTCGGAAGGACATGCACACACACGTACAACATGCGCGCCATTGCCTGGCCGGCTTATCCACGAAGCAAATTACCTTCCATGCGGCCCGATAGCCGGGACAAGAGGGAAGAGCGGCCGGCGACTGGTGGGCACGAAAACTGCCCCCTGGAGCCCGGAGCAGCCAATAGGGTCGACAGCCGGGCCACTGTCCCGCGGCATGCTCCCAGGCTTCGCACGCCGAGGAGTAGAGCAACCCCCTCACCGATGGTTGCCATGCCGAAGCTGCATAATCAAGTCTTCTCTCTGCGAGGCAGTGACGCTGTCGATACACGCGAGAGTCGGCGGGACTAGGACATGAGGCGGGCGGTCGCACACCACAGAGACGATGCGCTTATTACGGCGAATCGCGCGACAGAACTTGCACACCAAAACATAGGGCGCCAGATCGGGCTTGCCACCGGCGCGGATGATGTCCGCCGCCTGGGCGTCGAAGGCGAGTCGACGCTCAAACTGACGGTTCATCTTCCTGAACAGGAAGAAGAAGCCCTGCGAACGTGGATGTCACATGCGCGCGTGGTCGCCGGCAGGCCGGGCGGGAGAGGGGGGCGGGGGGCGTGGCAGTGGAGGGCCGAGAAGGAAGGCGCATCCATCAATGAGTGAGTGATTATGAAGGTTGCCGCTCGGTGGTCCTCGCCAGCGCGACCGCATGAGCAAGCGTACCAGTCCCATGGCGAGGCCCATCGCCATGATGCCCAGGCCGACACCAACCATGAACACGTTTTCCCTGACCGTTGCTGGGAACCCCGAGGGACGAAGGGGTCAGCCAGGGCAATGCCTAATGTATCCGCAACTCCAGCGGCGCCGTACCGACTCCGAAGAAGAAAACGCCCAGGCCGCCGACGAAAATGATGCTCGCCTGTCGAGATGTTGGGCACGAGTCAGCCAGGAATGACGAGGAGGGGCAAATGGACCACACATGCGGCCGTGCGGCCAAACATACCAGAATGACAGGTACCACCCAGGAGGCCTTGTTCAGGCCGGTGGGGCGCTTTTGGGGCTGGGCGCGAGTTAGTGCGAGGGTCTTGGCTTGGAACACGGGCTCGGCCGGCCTGCGAGAAGGGAAAAAAAAAACCATCGGTACCGTTTCATAGTAGGGCAGGTAGGCCTTCGGATCGGGCCCCGACGATGGGACCGAATCCGCCTGAAGATCATGCACGGGAGGCGCTCCGACATACACCGGGCCAAGGGCATAGGCCTCGCCCTGCTGCGGATGGTAGCCCGGAGGGTAGGGCGCAGCATGTGGCGCTGGCTGGCTACCCATGGCCAAGGGGCTGACCGGTGGGTAGCCTGGCCCCGGCGGGGGCGTTGCCCCGGTCGGAGCAGCCACGACGCTCGGAGGTACGCCGCTGCCACTGGGAGGGTACGCCGGCTGGCTCCATGAGGGGTCGGCCGGAGCGGCCGGAGCCGGTGACACGAAGACTCCAGGCCCCTGTGGGCTGTTTGGGTAGGGCTGCATGTGTGGGCAATCAAGGAAAAGCCTCAAGTACAAGAGGCAGGCGGAAATGGGGGAACAGCGCGAGAGGGAGTTCTGGTTCACGGATTGCACCCACGGCCAAGCCAAGGCGTCTCTTATATGCATCCATCTGGCAAATGCCTTCGCCTCGCGTTCACTCACTCACACGCACACGCACACACACACACACACACACACACACACACACACATACACACACACACATACACACACATACATACATACATACACATACACACACACATACATACATACATACATACATACACAGACACACTTCACACTAACCACTCACTAACCACACCCCTTCGGAAATAACGACAATGTTAAGGACGCCCCGAAACCCGGGATCTGGAAGGATATTACTGCCCGATGATACTGCCCCTTCGGGCAGTAGATCGATCGATCTGCCACCGTCCGGACCCGCGGCATCTCGGTACCCAGGTTTCTCTTGCACATCAAGAGGCCTGACTATCGATGATCTCCCACCGAGAGCCAGGGAGACGGCGAGAAAGAGCGAAAGACACAGGCAGGGAGGGCGCACGGTCCCGGCGAACATCCTCGAGGCCGCATTGTTTGGCGGGTAATTCTTCCTCAGCTTAGATTCGAGGAGCCCCATCCTCCTGTGCCTCTCCACAAGGGGGTCCCACGCACACTATTCTCACCACGCCCTCCAAGAGGCAAGCGGGTTTTCACAATGCCGGGCTTTTTCCCCGGTGTCAACAGTGGCAGTTGGCAGGTCGGATTGGCAGATGCCATTCCAGACGAATTGCCTGGCCTCATCAAGCTAGCCACCGAGGGGCCGGGATTCCAACTTTCCGGAGAGCGGTACTTCGTCAACGCCGAGGCCTTCCTATATTCTCTCATTTTCAATGGCGGGGAGTATTTCCTTCCACGCCTGTGCGCCATCAGTTCATATGCCACGTTGCTTGGCATCACCGGCTGCCGGCAACCCCCGGGAGAAATCCAGCGGCTTCCTCATCGAGCAACCGGGAGGGCGATCAAATCATGGGGCTGAGCAGGGAGGCTGCCGAGGGTGGGCCTCCCTGACAGTGTCTGGACCCCCAGGAGCGGGCCATTTCCGGGGGATGAAGGCCCGGAGATATGCGGAGTTCCGCATCAGGCCGGCTGGTCGCTTCTGATCACCCACACTCAGATCCTGCAATCGGTGAGGGAGACAAAGCAGGAGCACATTTAGATGGCGAGAGAGAGAGAGAGAGAGGGAGAGAGAAAGACCAATGAAGAGAATGGGCAGGCTGGGGCATTCCTATGGGGCCTTCTTGTGACGAACAAGCACACCTCACGGTCTCCCATTAAAAATAGCAGCCCACGTTATTCGGCCGTATTCAAGGTCAAGGTCGTACTGCCACTCTCTCTCTCTCGGAATGGAAACTGGACAACAGTAGCGATGCTTGGCGGAAGGGGTTCATCCAGTTCGCACAGAAGAGGGGACAGGGGCGAGCGGGGGGGGGGGGGAAGACAACAGAAGGTACGTGAAAGTTACCAACAGACGCATCCGGGACCCCAAAGATATCGGCCACAGCCCCTGGCACCCAAACTGGGAAGGTCGCATGAGACCGGCAGAATGTGTCCGATCGCCCATCTTACGGGAGTTGCCGGAACGATTGTCGCAGGTTGCGATGTGATACTGCGAGCTCACCGCTGCACACTCGCCATGATCCGAGAGCCATCCTCCCTCCCAGACACACACACACACACATACACACAGGGAGAGTCAGGGAGACAGGAACACACGCCGAGCTCTGGCTGTCTGATGGCGCTCCTTTCATTCATTGTGAGCGAGGAGACGCCGCCCAGACCTTGGCACGGCCGTTGCCGGGGACAGCCTTCACCGAGGCACAAGAGCAAAGCAGGGGAAGCGGAAAACCCGTGCCCGCGGTCAGGCACCAGGCTCTTGGCAGGCGCATATTTTTCGGCCGGCAAATTGACGGGAAACACGGACTCCTTCTCGATTTGTCCCCACAAATCTCTCCGCTCGCACCTGGCCCGAAGCCATCTCTGACCGCATGGATTCTTCCCCGCCGGACCCAGGGGGGGGGGAGGGGCACGAAGATAGCCCTGCTTCTGATGTTGTACCAACACTCGAGGCTGCCAGCTTATTGCTTTGCCCATCGTCAAACGACCGAGTCCGCGATAGGACTCTGTCGGCAGAGGCGAGGGGGAGACCAGCTTTCGCCCTTCGGCTTCCCCCCTCATTGGAGGACCTTCCCCTTCCGGGACGCCAGCACAGCCAGAGAGGAACAACGTGAGGGAAAGAGAGAGGGGGGGGCGACAGATACCTTGGAATGACGTCCAGGGAGATTCGGAAATGCACCAAAGGGCTGGAGGGGAGGGGGAGGGGGAAGGGGAGGGGCGTCAAGGGACACGTGGGCTACCCAACATGGAGAGGGCCCAAGGAGGAGGTGTCCATCGTGGGGAGTGTATTGCTGTGTGGGACAGGAAGAGGGTGAGGGTGTGTGCGTGTGTGCGCGTGTATATGTGTTTATAAGGAGAAGAGAGAAGAGAGGGAGAGAGAGAGCCTCCACTCAAGGGACGATGGGGCAGGAGCTGCACTCGATGTACTTCATGGATGGAGATCACTTATAGAGAGCCTGAAGCTGGTTCTCAACCACGTCCTGATACTGTGTGCCAAGGTTCCCGATGCAAGCAAGCACCGGGGGGACGGCAATATGCGGAGGCCGCTCACAAAGCAACACAAGGGTCCACCGATTGGGCCAAGTCATCCGGCAGAACTTGCACACCGGCACCCGGGGCAAAGGCGGCATCTTCCCCGCACGAATGCACTCCACCGAGCGCTTTTCGATGTCCACACGGGCATCATAAATCTTTTGGATCTTCCTCCGCCGATAGAGCGTGTGCTTTTTGTCGACCAGTTTAAGGGTCAGGCCACCAGAGCAGGAGAGACTTCGCGAAGGAGGGAGGGGGAAGGGGGGAGGGGAGGGGGGGGAGGACATCCGCGGCCGTCGGCATTGAGGAGGGAAAGCACGGGGGAAGAGGGGGGAAACGCACCAGACTCATGACCAGGCAGATGACAAAGAAACCCCCGCCAGCACCAATGGTTTCATAGCCGATGGGATCACTCACTGCACGGTGGGAGTGAGAATGGTCAATCGAGCTGAACAACAGACAAGCTGCAAGAAGAAGAAGAGGAGGAGGAGGAAGAAGAAGAAGAAGGAACCCGCAGAAAGGATCAACATACTGACGCCAGCAATGACGAGGCCGACACTGACAAGGAGACCAAAGCCGAGCTAATTGATCGGAGACGAAAAGGCCCAGTGAATTACGCGGTGGATATCGGTCAGCAGATCTTACCGGAGGGGGGGGGGAACATGCGCAGCAAGAGAATGGCCCAGTGTGCATACCATGATGAAAGAGGCGTTTTTGCTCTTTTTGTTGATCAGGGGCGGCTTCGGGATGGGCTACGGGAAGAAACACCAAAGAGCAGGTCAGCAAGGAGTAGGGCATCGCCATTGGGGGGGGGGGGGGGGGGGGGGGGGGGGAACCATCGGGGAGGGAGGGAGCACGAGTGCAGAGGGAATGGCCCCACTTCCGGGCGGACGTACCAGTTCATAGTAGGGCAAGTAGGCCGCGAAGTCCGAAAAGGGTACCGTCTCCGGCACCCAGAGGTTGCCATTATGATCGGGCGATTGGTGAACCCCCAGCAGGGCGGGATTTGTCGTGTGCACCGTGGTCACGGTGGTGAGGGTTGGATAGGCCGGGGCACCGGTCGGCGGATATGGCGGTGCGCCTGGGCCAGGAGGGTACCCCGGCGTCCCGGAACCGGGAGGATACCCAGGCGCACCCGAGCCGGTGGGATAGCCCACGGCGGGCGAGCCCGAGGAGTAGCCTGGAGAACCGGCGGCCGGAGGATATTGAAGCTGGCCATAGGGAAGATGGGATTGCAAGGATGGGGTATCGCCGGTGGAGTAATCAGGCCCGCCAGCCGCAGGTCCAGGCGAATGCTGTGCCTGATGGTAGGAACCATGCGCGGCTTGAGCGGCATCCGAGGGAGGGCCCTTGGACACCTCGCCACTGTTTGAGGGGTATGGCGCCATCTCATAGGGGGGCGCCTGGTAGGCTGGAGGTGGCGGTTGAGACCATTCGGCCGGGGACTCTGATGACGCTCCTGGGGTGGAGAAGTTCATCGTGGAAAGGAGGGGGGGGGGGCAATCTCAAAGAGAGAGGAAGAGAGGGAGAGCCGCAAGCGAAGAAGAAGGCGAAGAGATGGGGAAATGTCCATGGCTGGCTTAGGAGCCCGAGAGCCGAAACATTCGCCCCCTTAAAAAGAGGAATAACGCATTTCACAACAACACTCACGCACAGGCCCCTGGATAACTTGTTCAGACACTCGCCCGGGGGGAAGAGAGAGAGAGAGAGAGAGAGAGACGGAGAGAGAGAGAGAGAGAGAGACGGAGACAGAGAGAGGGAGAGAGGCAGAGAGAGAGAGAGGGACAGAGAGAGAGAGAGACAGAGAGAGACACAGAGAGACACAGAGAGACACAGAGAGACACAGAGAGACACAGAGAGACACAGAGAGAGAGAGAGAGAGAGACACAGAGAGACACAGAGAGAGAGAGAGAGAGAGACACAGAGAGACACAGAGAGAGAACGCCAGGCCCGGAACGGAGCACGGCCACCGGCGAAGAAGAAAAAAATGATCTCTGCACGCGGGCACACCGCGACCACACGATGGTTAGATGTGCGTTGGGAGGTGCCCCTATATTCAGCAGGCGATCACGCTGTTCCCTCTTTTCTTCTTCCCCAAGCCGCACTCAGGCCCGCGCTCGAACTCGCGCCCCTTTGAAACTCGTTCGTTCCCCCCCCCCCTCCCCGCACCCCTCCGCACCTATCACGCTCCTCTCTCCGCCGAGCCTGGTCGGCCTCTGCCGATGGGAGCGCCGATGTCCTCCAGCGTCGCCCCCTGCTTGGGAAACCGGCTGCCAGCCCCGGAGAGGCAGGTCCAGGACAAAGCAGGAGGTGCTTGGAACGTTGGCATTTCGCGGTTGGGGGGGGCATTTTCAATGTTCGAAACAGGAAGGAGAAACAGAGGGAGGCCGGCCGGGGGCAGGGAGACACCGAAAAGGGGATCGGATCCCCCATGTCTCCCCGCCCCTCAGGCCTTCCGTTTGCGCATGTATTCCCGCAAGGAAAGGGTGGTCACTTGGCGCTTGCGAGTGGAGGGCTCCTCGTGGATGGTGCCCGCTGAACTGGTCGCCGCCGAGCTGGCTCGCCAACTCCCCTCCCCCTCCGATGCTGCCGCGGCCGCTACCGCCGAGGGCACCCTCGACAGGGCCGAGCCCGCGCGAATGACCGAGCATAACCGATCCACCAGATGATCGCCACCGGACAGCAGACGCCCCTCCGGGCGCATGTCAGCCAGGGCCACCGGCGCCAGGGAACGCCCCGCCTTCACCGGCGACATGCCATCCCCCGACAGACGATCCAGGAGAGCCTTTCGCCCGAAGCGCCCTGGCATCCGGCCAACGCCCGCCGCCACATCCGGCCCCGGGTCGACCCCGGCATCGGACTGGACAAACGCCCGGACCAGCAACAATCGCGCCGTGACCGCAGCGCAGCCCCCGAGCAATGAGCAGCTCGGCCCCGGGTCCCGGTCCCCGGAATCCGGGAAGACCACCACCGACAAAGCCGCCATGCCGCCAGCCAGCTGCAGGATCCCGGGCGTCTGGCACCCAGGACAACGACCCCAGTTCCAGGGCACACCGACCTCGGCGGCCCATGCAAATGCCCCGGTCAACAGCCGAACCGCCAGCCGCAGGAGATCCTCAAACTGCAAGGTGTCTCGACAGTGACCGATGGGGCCGCGCCAGGCGCATACCAAATGCCCCAGGACTTCGCTCGAAGGAAGGACCATACGCTGGGCCCCGGGGCCGGAGCCGGCCACCAGAACCAAGCTTCGCCGAGGCTGCGGCAGCATGTCCAAAAAGCCATCCAGCGGACAGTCCACCGAGCCATCGTAGCGAGGGCGCTTGGCCGAGGGGGAGTCGAATACCTGACTCAGGATCGGCCGCCCGGTGGCCCCAAGCGAGCCCACCGTCGAGGGACAGATCCCCGTCAGCTCCAGTTGACACAGCGTCTCCAGGGCGTCCGTCACTTGCCAGGGATGACCCAAGGGCTCGGGCAGATCCATGGCCGACGACAAGTGAGCAAGCCCACACGCTGCGCAATCGCCATCGCCATCGCCATCATCATCGCCATCGTCATCGGTGGCGTCGTTGCCGCTCTCATCGGCCGACTCGCCATCGGCCTCCATGTCGGCAACCGGCCTGGCCCGGCCAAGCCCGATGATGTTGAGATTGCCATCCTCGGCTGTCGGCGCCCGGCCACCGGCCAGGCTGGTCAGCACGCCCGGGGCCCGGGGCGTCGTGGCCAGGCCGTCGCTTCCCGTGGCGCGAGCACTTTCCGCAGGGCTAGCTCCACCTGCCCCGATGCCTGAGGCGGATCGATGCCGGCCTCGGCCAGCCTGCTGTACGCGATGCAGACGCCCGGGCCGCCGACCCGGAGACAGAAGCAATGACGCCCGGTCCTCTTCCGAGGCGCCAGCCAAGCCGGCCGGCCCGAGGTCCGAGTCTTCGGGTTCGGAGGAGATGGACCCGGGCATGCCGGCTGCCCCGTCATCCGGCGCCTCCCCTGGATCCAAGGCCGAGACCAATTCCGGGACATTGGCTCCGAAGAAGTCCTGCCAGTGACGAGAAAAGGCCCCCTCATCGCCAGTCCCGGTGGTGGCTGCCTCCTCGTAGAGGGACTGTGCGAGGGAGGCCTGCGCCTCGAAGGCATCGTCGGAATCGAAGAAAACCGCCGCAAGAGAGGGAAGCCCCGACAAATTGGGCCCCGGCGTCGGCGAAGACCCGACAACAGACAGCGACCCCGGCGAGGAGGAAAGATTGGTGTCATACAGCAACTCGAAGGCATTGTGCTCCAGGTCACTTTCGCAGGTCAGATCATCATCGGACATGGGGCCGCTCGGGCCCGGACGCCGACCGGCCGGCGACCGGTCCCCCGGGTGACGCTCGTCGGTGGACATCCGGCGGATCCGGGATCCAGCCGGTGACCGGCTGCCAGCCGACAGCGAGGGCCGCCGCATTGCGCTGCCGGGCAGCGGCTTGCCATGCCGCGGGGTGGCTGGCTCTCCATGGGAAGGGCGCCGGGGCTGCCG